AAAAAAAAAAAAAAAAAACTCTAACTTATATTTGACAAAATATACATCAATAAAATTATTTATTTCTATATATTATTTAAAATTTTAATTTTGTAGTTGTATTTCAATTTTATTCTGTTCAAATATATTTTTTTTAGAGTAAAATATAACAAGAACGATATAAAATTTAATTTTAACATTCCCAAAGTAAGATCGACTCTAGAGTAGAGTAGAAGATTGGAAAAATTCTTAGGAAAAAGAATATGAAATTTCTATTTTCCATGGCAACTCACATTCACATAGTATTGAATTTGAGTGTTTATAAATAAGAATAATGCATTCAAATGTGTAAACAAACACCGGACAAGATATTGGATATCCCATTAAAATTAATCTTTCATTGACACATTAAATCATCTTTCTTAGCATATTATTATTATTATTATTATTATTATTATTATTATTATTATTATTATTATTATTATTATTATTATTATTATTATTATTATTATAACTTAATGACGCAACTTTTCTACATACACGTACAAATTACAAATCCAAACTCAAACTTGTTAAAGAAAAACAAGAAATACAATGGCATTTGCCGTGCAATAACATACATACATACAAACGTACACACATACGAAAAGCTATACAGATGCGTAAACAAACTGTCATTCAACAACGTTGCTGCTAAATAGTTTGAACTCCTTCGCATCAAGAACCAACTTTCGCGTGGACGAAAATGCCCCCATGAGTCCGACGAACGAGAAAACGACTATAATTGTGTTGTTAACCCAGTAAGCTAAGGACATTTTAGTCGGTTTATAGGTCATGTTGTACAGAAGCATCGGCAGCACAAAATCGAGAGGAATGAAACCGAAGGCACCCACAACAGCGTTAATGTCTCCAAAAAAGGGGAGCATGGCAGCAACGAACCCACAGAATATTACGTAGAGAGAGCGGAAAATAATTCTCGGGATCAAGTTTCGTTTGGAAAAAATGCCCTGATTCACATCGGCTGATTTCTTTTCTATGATCTCGTAAGCTACTTGAGAATACACCTGATTTTTTCAGTGGAAAAAAGAAATCAATAATGCAACAAGCAATAATTTGTAAAAACTGATGAAACTTGGAATTGGAAGGCAAAAAATGCATTTTTAGTCCTAGCAATTTTAGTTCCAAGATTCTGACTTTTTGTATTTTGGTCTTGTGATTTAATATTTTGTTGAATTTTAAATTACAGGACTAAAATTGCGACAAAATATTAAATTACATGATTTAAATTGCTAATCGAAAATCTATAAATTTGAGAATTTGTTATAATTTCAATCCTCGTGAAATTTTTTTGGTTCAAGGTTCTAACATTTCGCTTTTCGGTCCTGTGATATAATATTTTTAGTCCCAAGGTTCCAACATTTCGATTATTGGTCCTGTGATTCAAAATTTTGCTACAATTTCAGTCCATTGAGGATTGAAATTTGCAACAAATTCCCAAATTTTTAGATTTTCGATTAGCAATTTAAGTCTTGTATATTAATATTTTGTCGCAATTTCAATTTTTTAATTTAAAATTCAGCAAAATATTAAATTAGAGGACCAAAAAGCGAAATGTTGGAATCCTGAGACTAAAAAATTGCTATGCCGTTAAATCAGCACGATTAAAAGTGTAATTTTGCCGAATTAGACATTGGAGGATAATAATATGATCTCACCAAGCCAATGGCGAAAAGTTGAAGGAGAACGAAAATGATGGCGAGACCCAAAACCCATACAGGAGCCAAGGAAGGTCCCTCGTCTGGCATCAAGCTTTTGAGAATGTTGGAATTAGATTTATTCCCAAACACCCAATACCCGGACACTGCAGAAGAATAGAAGGTAACGAAAATTACACCGTAGCACATAATTAGGCCTTTCACCATTTTCCCTGTGGCCGGAGGGGCCAGCGTTGCCTGTACACATAAAGGTCACTATGAATTTGTTACATAAAAAGGAAAGTGGAAACAAAGAAAAAAAAAAAACGCTTAAAATACGTTTGGGATGAGATGAGATTTTACCTGTATTTCCGGCAAGATACCATTGCCGAAAATGGCAGCTAAAATAGATATGGAATTGAATGCGCTAAAAAGCCTCGATGAGTCTGATGCTTCTAAAGAGTAGTCCCTTGAAGGCGCATTTCTTGAGGTACCTTGAGTGAAAAAATAAGATTGTAAAATTGAAACCACTAAAGATAATGATAGATACACATGATTTCTTTAGTTCCCATTGAACGATGGGAAAACTTTTTACCTGCATTGATACAAGCACCCACCACGAGAAAAGTGTAGCCCAAGCTCAAAAAAAGCGATCCAAAGTTTATATGCCTTAGGGAATGAAAGGTTGGGAACTGAGATAGAAGCATCATAACTACTGTTACCATCATTATGAAGTGGTACAGTTTCAAGGGCCCTTCTGGATAAATTTCCGAGTACATGATCTAACAATTCAAAGAGAGATACAGAGAGATTAGAATGTTGACTTTCATGGTTTGACATCATTTGAGCAAGTAATTAATTGAGGATAAGGTTCGTTACAAAGACAAAATCCGAGGCCTACACACGTGCACATAAACACCCAGTTATATTCCTACATTACTAAAAAATCCCTTAAATATTTGCTTCTTTTTTAAAAAGTGTAACTTCAAGTGGGATGTACATGTTAGGTAAATGCACATGTAAATATGAACAGAGTGTCTGCAATGCACTTATACTTCAAAAAGGGTTTTTTTTTTTTTTTTTTTTTTGTAAGTTGGAAAAATCAACTGGAATTTTTGTATAAATCTCAGAGGTCATTTTTGTTCCTGTGATTATTCTTGAAGGGCAATCAACAATTACTTTCAAGAGAAAATAATTACGTACAATGCTGTACCTGGAGACATTGCCCTGCAAGCAAAATAGCTCCTATGCTGATGCCAGTGTTTATTGCTGTCTGAACAAATATCACCAGATAAAACATCCACCCAGATCCTATTAGAAATAATGTAGAAAATAAGAATTTCATAAGCGTGTTATCTGACTTAGAAAAGCAAGCTCTACGGCCAAACATCTACCGCGCTATGGTCTTAATTTCAATCTGGATCATGTTTTTTTATTGTGGTAATTCATAATCTCATCAATTACAGGCACAAGAGACTTTGATTATGAGTATTACGTTTAAATGTGCCGATAAAGTGACATTCATTTTTTTTAAGTGATAACGAAACGGAACCTTAATCTAACTAACCATGGATGATATGGCACGAAAGCACGATGTTACTAAAAACATTAATTCATATAGAATGATCCAATAAGGCGCAGCAAGACAAGAAACACGAAACCATAAATTTAGTAAAAATATACATGTTTTTACATCACAGCCATAAAACACGATGCAGAACAATAATGATTTCACTTTTGGTAAATAATTTATCCATTCAATATTCGTAAGAGCATCCGCACTGGTCTCCACTCATTTAATTACCAACAACATTCTCTTTCTTACACATCGTCTCCATATCACCATTTTTTCAAACATAGTTCGTTCAAACACACCTTCCCATCTGTTTAAATGTTCACAACTCTTGCGGCCGGGTCCCACCCATTACTTCAGTATCTTATAACATCAATGTTTTATACTTTTATTAGCTTATATTTCACAGTGAGACCTTATTTGTGTGATTAAATGACATTCATAACATTGAATGAACGGTCGCTTTCAGTTGTTTAAATGGACAGTAGCATTGATATTAATGATGAATTGGCATTTAAATGCACTCAATTAAACGCTAGTGCAAACGCCCAAATAGAATCAGGCTCAAGGCACAATTATCCACCCAGATCCTGTTAGAAATAATATACTACAAAATAAGAATTTCATAATCATGTTATCTGACTTAGAAAAGCAACTTCTACAGGCAAAAAGCCATCATACTATGGTCAATAGCTGGTATCTAGCTCTTAATTTCCATCTGGATCATGATCTAGGACAGTGCCGTATTTATAGTTTCATCGATTAGTGGCACAAAAGACTTTTGACTATGGAGAGTATTATGTCTAAACGTGCGGTTAAAGTAACGTTCATTTTTTTAAGGAATAATGAAACCGAACCTTAATCCAACTAACAATGGATGACAAGACACGATAGCATGATACGACCGCAAACACTAGTTCATAGAGAAATGACAAAGGCATGACAGGACAAAAAATACAATTAAAAAACACGAAACTAAAAGGTTAGCAAAAATAAACATGTTCTCACATCAAAGCTAAAAAACATGACAAAGGAATACAAACACAACAACTACGTGCATAACAAAAATAAATTCACTTTTGGGAAATTATTTATCCATTCTATATTCATTATACTGTAATCAGGCTCAATGCACAATTACACAGCATCTCCGTTTTAAAGTTATGTTCCACCATATTTTTTATACCAACCATCCATAAAATCCTTTCTCATAAGCAAAAGTCAACACTATTATTGGCTCCACAAGTATTGATTACTAGCAGGGCATCTCACCAAGATAAAAGAATTAAAATGGCAGCACATTAATGTCAATGTCAAGTGTGAACGCCATTGCAACTAACCAGTATTCCTCATTTGTTTACATTATCTTTTCTTCTGAGTTCTTAGTTCTAATCACATTATTCCAAATAGCACATAAATAAATGAGAATAAGATAAAACATGAAAAAGGAATAAAGAAAAAAGTAGATACCCAGGACATCGGCGGCGAGCTCCCGGAATCGTATGTGGCGGCGACCACCCTTCTCACAGTGGTCCAGCACCAACGACATGAGATAGTACGAGTAGAAAGTCACCGCGCCCATTCCCGTCAGGCAGACGAATCCCAGCACCCAGCCCAGCCCCCGGAAGGCGTACGGCAGCGTGAGTATCGTGGGCCCCACAATCGCCGTCGTCAGGTGGAATCCGGCATGCCACCACTCTCCTGCCGTACCCACACCCGCCCATCACCATCAATTAAAAAAAAAAAACACAAAAAGCACAGACCAAACAATTATCTGTAACTAATTGATTCGCAGAATAGGAAAAATCAATCGATGAAGCACGGTATCTAATCTAATACGTGACGTTTTAGGAACGATTTCGACCCGAGAGACGTAAATCTGTTTGAATGCAATCGATTCATACCCTTCGATTGCAGGACAAAAGATGCTCCGGCGTCGTTTTCGCGGCTGATTTCTCCTAACGGGCCGTCGCCTCGAGGAGCCCCTCCCATTTTTCTGCACAAATCGCTTTAAGTGTGGAGCGCGCGAAAATATGAAGGGCGGCGACGAGGAGGCCTACTGGCGGCCGTGGGAATGGATCGGAGGAGGTATTGCGACGATATGTCTGCTTTAATGGCGGCAATGTACGATGGTGCCAGGTTTGACCATTGCGTAGAGGAAAAGGACAAGCGAAAATTACAAGTGCAGCCGTGCAGGCGACGAATTTGTCAGTTATGCCCAAAAAGGATAATTTCCGATTGTTTTGGGAAAAAATTACGAAGTTGCCACTTTCACAAATGTTGCAACTTAATAACGTTTTGACTAAAATATGTATAAAATATGTTATTTTATCACTATTTTGACCAAATAATTTTTTTACCTAAAAAATTTAAATCAAATTACCAATAATAAAAATATAATTAAATAATATTAGTCAAGTATCCTCTGACAATAAGACATCACACCATATTTAATTTATTATTTATCCACTCACATAATTTTAATTTCACGTCATCTCCAGTTACATGTCTCAATCAAATCAAATTTAATCATTATAGTTTAAATATTATTTTGATAGAAATTCAAAACCTCACTCAAACCTAATTCAACTATTTTTTTTTTAAAATTAACTTTGATTAACCAACAAATCCAATCAAAACAAGAATAATTTGAATTCAATCTAACCCGAAACAAGTAATAATATAATTCAATTAGTACAATAATCATTTGTGCTAAGTAAACAAACAATATTGGACTTTTTTACAAGTATTACTATATCCGGTGATTGAACGGTGTTGGTTAAAAAAATTATACTGAATTTTTTGAATAAATATATAAGAAAAGTTTTGTTGACGAACGTTTTCGGTCAACGGTTAAGATTGAAACTATTGAAAGCACAGGACTGGAAATATAAGAAAGCTAGGGTCTAATTGTGAATTTTATTAAGCGATCACGAGGTCGGCCTCTCGTACGAGGTCGGCCCTGGTGATATCCTTACAATCCTTACAATTCTTAGAGAGAGAAAGTAGAAGAAAACTTATGTTAGTTGGATTTCAACAACCCCAAAATAAATGAGGTGGGCTGCTATTTATAGTACTCTTAAATGAGGAACTGTTCACCGGTCTTGTCGCACAGTAGACTTGCAGAGCAGTTCGGCGCCTCCCTGACGGTTCATTAATGCGATTTGAGGCTTTTCCAATCATTGCTTGCTAAGCATTAAATGCAGGCATGGGCAGCATTTAATGCTGACTGAACGACTGTGACATGCTGTCCCATCAGCGAATGATGATCTTCCAAGTGGCGAATATTTAATGACGATCGGACCGGTGCTATCCTTTGGCAGGGCGGCTCTGACTTGTTAAGGTCGGCTCCTTCTCTTCGAAAGTCTGCGCGTCCCATGCGAACCTCTTTCCAGCTCGGCACCGGGGAGAGCCCGGCTCGGCCCCCACGGGTTCAGGTGCCGAGCTCGGGAAGCATTTTCTTCGACCCGTCCTACACATAATTTATCGATTCAGGTCGGCCCCCACGAGTTCGGTCCCGTTCGGTTCGTGGGGTCGACCCACTCGGTCTTGACCCGACCGATCCGGATGTCAACAAGTTTTCCTTTATATAAATATTAAATACTTTTTAATAATTGTATCATAATTATCATATTTAAAATGAGACTTTTCGCTTGAACGATTTACTTGTTTTATATTATAATAATTTTTATTTATATAGAATGAATTTCAAGATAATTTTTTTAATTGACATATAATGTTATTAAGTTTCATTAGTATTATTAAATTATTTAATTTTAAAAAATTTAATTAATAAGCTAAAACTTCTTTAAAAAATATTGTCCCACCAAATCAAACTTATGTGAATACAAAAGAGATTATAATATGACTAAATAAGTTGTGAATTACCTTAGGGTGCTTATCATCTCATTATTTATCTCCGAATAAATATTTTTTAAACTTAATCTATCAAATTATATAATTTTTTTCACTTTATTTGCAAATTTATATTCCTGACACTAAAAAAGTAGAAACTTTAGAAAAAATCGGAGTTAACCCACCAAACTATGCAACTATCTACATTTTGCCAACCAATACTTTTTACTATATTTTTGGTCATGGCGATCATATGTAAGGTCACAAACAAACTTTTTACAACGTTAAGGGTGTGATAGGATATGAATTTGTTTTTTATTGATTTTTTTGTTTACAATTAATTTTGAGAAAGGTGGTATGTATATTTGTTAATGAGTATATTAAAATAGTATTTAAAATAACATAAATAAAGTTGATTTGATGCAAAAAATATGAAAAAATATTACCAGAATTGATGGTTAATTAAAATTATATTAGTAGATGAATAGTGAATTAAAATTGATGTGATGTGTAAGATTGATTGATTGATATTATCTAATTATATTGATAATATGGAGGATGGCGTGGTTGAGTGAAATTTGAGTTTTGGTTGATTTTTTACCTTAGATTTTATATATATTCAATCACACTCTAAACTGAAAAGAGCATTATTAGTTTATTACATTTTATTAACTTGTTAAGTTTCTATGGTGTAAATTTTACAACAATCACATAGCTACACACATCTCACGATCAATCAACAACTTCATTGCTAAAGAGCTTGAACTCTTTAGCATCAAGAACCAGCTTCCTCGTCGAAGAAAATGCCCCCACGAGCCCAACGCATGTGAAAACAATGATAATCGAGCTATTAACCCAATAAGCTAACGACTTTTTGGTCGGTTTATGAGTCATGTTGTACATGAGCATCGGCAGCACGAAATCGAGTGGGATGAAACCGACTGCACCCACAATGGCACTAATGTCTCCAAAGAAAGGAAGCATAGCCGCAATGGACCCACATACTGTAACGTACAACGAACGAAGAATGATTCTCGGAATCAGATTTCGCATGGAGAAGATGCCTCGGTTCACGTCTGCAAATTTCTTTTCAATGATCTCGTAAACTACTTGAGAGTAGACCTGATTAGAGGTTTTTCGGAGGAAAAAGAGTTATAATGCAAAATATGATTAGTAATGTTTTACTCTCATAATAATCGTGCGTGTAGATCCACATAGACTATATTTTATATACGTAGTTGATAGTTGATAAGTTAATTGATAGCTTATAAGTGCATTTTGAGCATACGACAGATGGTTGAAAAGTTAACTGATATACTTAAAGTGTGGTAAATTTAGCGTATAAAATTTCAAATGGTTTTTTGAGAATCTACTTCAGAAACGTTGTGAAATAAGCTTCAGGTTTTTTGAAATTTTGTACAACTAAACCAAGTTTATTTGAACACAAAAACCTTATAAGCCAACTAAATAATCTATGAGCTAGTTTACGGTGCTTACCAAACACACTTAGAGACAATGTACAAGAGAAAATTATCTCACCAAGCCGATGGCGAAAAGCTGAAGGAGGATGAAAATGATGGCGAGGCCCAAAACCCACACAGGAGCCAAGGGAGGCCCCTCGTCCGGCATCAAGTTTTTGAGAATGTTGGAGTTCGATTTATTACCAAACACCCAATACCCGGAAACTGCAGCGGAGTAGAAGGTCATGAAAATTACAGTGTAGCACATAATTAGGCCTTTCACCATTTTGCCAGTGGCCGGAGGAGCCAACGTTGCCTGTAATGGTTGACGAGTAGTAAATAAATAAATATCGACCTCATGATTTATCAGTCGTTATACTATATTATTCGACTTTACCTGTATTTCGGGTAGGATACCATTGCCGAAAATGGCAGCCAAAATGGATATAGAATTGAACGCACTGAAAATCCTAGATGATTCAGATACTTCTAAAGAGTAGTCCCTTTGAGGCGCATTTGTTGAGGTACCTTTGAGTGAAAAGATCGTCATTCACAAGACTCAAATCACATTCATGCTATAATCATATATTCTGTTTATTGCAAACGCAATATGTTTTTTTTACCTGCGCTAATGCACGCGACCACCACAAGAGAAGTGTAGCCCATGCTCAAAAAAAGCGAGCCGAGGTTAATATGCCTCAACGAATGGAAGCTCGGAAACTGCGACATAAACATCATAAGTACTGTCACCACCATTATGAAGTGGTACAGTTTCAGAGACGATCCCGGATAAATTCCCATGTACATGATCTAACGCCCAAAAAATAAAAGAACCACGAAAGAAACAAAATTAGATTTCATAATACACATAGAATTCCTTTTATTAGTATCTAGCATCATTTGTTTGAAGCACAACGTGCTGGTGAATAAAATGAATCTGGCTTGGCTCGGCTCGTTAAAGCTCGAGTTTGATTCCTTAACGAACGGAGTTCGAGCTCATTTAAAGTTCAATCAGTTAACGAGCCGAGTTCGCCTTGGCGCAATAAGACTAGAAAAAGGAATATTTATATAATTTTCTATAGTTTGACTCGTTAAAACTCGAGATCGACTCATTAAAGCTCGAACTCAACTCGTTAACAGTAATAAATGAGCCGAGCTCGAGCTCGACTCATTTACAAGGATACAAACTTGAATATTTGCACCTTCTTTGCAAATTTTATCTTCAAAGATGGGCATACTTGTTAGGTAAATACAATCATGAAGAGGGGGGCATTAGCAAATTTGAGAAAAAACAACTAGAGTTCTTTGTAATTAGTATAATAAAACCTGGAGGCATTCCCCTGCAAACAGAAGAACTCCTATGCAGATGCCAATATTGATTGATGTCTGAATAAATATGACCAAATAGAACATCCACCCAGATCCTGTTACAAACATATGCACCAAAAAATAAATAAAAATAAAATTATAATACAAATTTTTTTTTCTCTTGTTTTTTCATTTTTCAATTATCCTGTTCATAAGCATGCTATTTGACTTCGACAAAGCAACTTATAATCCCGAGCAAACAGCGACCGCACTCCGGTCATTGCCTTAATTTCAAACTTAATCATGACTTCAGACAATGGCATTCATAATTTTCAGCAAATAGCAAGCTACATTTTCACTTTTTTGCCATGAAATAAAGTTGGGAAAAGATGATCACATACGAAAATCGAAAAAGAACAAGTAAAAAAAAAAATGGAGAAAAAATAGATAGGTACCTACCCAAGACATCGGCCGCGAGCTCCCGAAATCGTATGTGGCGGCGACCACCCTTCTCACGGTGGTCCAGCACCAACGACATGAGATAATACGAGTAGAAAGTCACGGCCCCCACGGCCGTGAGGCAGAGGAACCCGGGCATCCAACCGAGCCCCCGGAAAGCGTACGGCAGAGTGAGTATCGTGGGCCCCACGACAGCTGTCGTCAGGTGGAAACCCGCATGCCACCACTCCCCTGCCGAGCCCTCGTACAAATTGCAGATGAACTAATTATTGATTTAATGATCAATTGAGACGTGTAAATAATTTATGGATGGATTTGAATTCGTACCCTTGGACTGGAGAACGAAAGAAGCTCCGGCGTCGTCGTTTTTCTCGAGGTGGATTTCTTCGATGTCGGCTTGAGCAGAACCTCCCATTGGTTCGTTAAGTGGAAGCGCGGGAAAAAAAAAATTGTAGTATGAAGATTAGAGGTGTTTTTGTGGTTGTAAGATGTATAGTGTGTGTGCGTGTGTGTGTGTGTGTGTTTAATTTAATAGCAGCGATATGTGTGTAGATAATAACTGGAAATGATAATGAAATTGGGTAAAGGGGAGAAATTTTGAATTGTAGTAGTTGGCCTAATGTGGTTAGGTAGTGGTAACATCGGTAAAAATAGTTTCCACTTTGTTAAAAAATGAAATACAATCACTTTCTAACAAAAAGTTGAATTTTAATCATTTTCTGTATGAGAAAAGGTCAAAATAATCTCTCTACAACTTTTCACTCAAATTATTTCTTTTTTTTTTTTTTTGGTACAAGAAAGGAGCGAAACAACTATCGTTTGATCACGACCCGACGAGGGTAAGCCACCCCGTAGCATCATGAGTTAACCATACACCCGCCTCCTCCGGAGGACGATCAAACCGGTGTAAACCCCCTGCTCCTTTAGCCGCCAGCGAGGCTAGAAAATCTGCCACAAAATTAGTCTCTCGATGTCCATAGATAAGCTCAATCTTCCAGGCTCTACCCATCAGTTCCCGAATCCCATGAACAAGGCTATCGTGCGGCCCACCAACATCCTCCCGACCAACCATAGTGATAATGACTTGGTTATCCACCTCCGCTATAATCTTTCGGGCTCCAATTTCCCATGCCAGATGCAGGCCCTGAAATAAGCCCCAAAGTTCGGCTCCCACAATGGAGCAAAAGCCAATATTCATCAGAAATCCTGAAACCCAGCGCCCACAGTAGTCCCGAATAACACCCTCGGCACTGGCCATACCTGTAGACGGGATATAGCTCACATCCGTATTAACCTTTAAAGTACCCATCGGCGGAGCCAGTCAGGACAACCACCGAACCTCACGGTCCAGACCTGCACCAATCCGACGACCGCTATCCAAGGCTACGCCCACACGAGATGAAAATGCCAACACATCACGCACACGCTCAGTCACAGCCGTATCCACATCCTCAAAAACTTTTAAGTTCCTCCAATGCCACAAACGCCATGCCGTTAACCCGAATAAAGTAGGCCATTCACCATTCGCCGGAAAAAATCGACCCGACAAGTTTAGTAACAGCCACTCGCGAACAGACGGTTAAAAGAAAGTCTGCCAGTGGGCCCGCAGGAGAAGGCTCTGCCAAGTCTTGGTTGCAACCGCGCAGTCCCGCAAGACATGAATGGTTGACTCCTCCGCCACATGGGTCGATTCTGTCATATTTTTTTAAAAAAATACATAATTGATCAAAATAAACACGTAATTTATATCAAAATAAACGATGCTATGAGTTTTCACTTTTCATACATATAATTATATATTGCTTTTTGGAGTATAAAAAAAATAATTTATATCTAGGTAGGCGAAAAGTTGCCGCTCTTTTTTTTTTTTTAATATCTAAGTGGTTCTTTTTTAACTAACTTTTTTTTAAGAGTGCAATTAATACACGCATTAAAAAAAAATACATACTATTTTATTTCCAAAACGATAGAGAATTTTATAGATAAAAATGCATAAATGTGCAAAAATATAGCCCCTATCTGAATAATAATGCCGAAAGTTAGAAAATTGGGACGCATTCGAAGACCGCCTATAACCGACACTATCAACACCAGAAACCAAAACACGAGACTCACGACACTACATACACAACAAAACGCTAAGGAAAACTACAAAGTTCCCAAAATGAGAATAAGAACGATCCCAAATGGATAATACCCCCACACTCGGGCAGAACAGAGGTTAACAACCCAAACCAAAAACACGAAACCTAACCAAACATGATAGGTCGAAAAATGTGCGCGTTTTATATTTTTAATAGTGTATTTTTATATACTTAATTTATTCGCACGTTTATATTTTCGACTTATTTATTATTTGGATGGATTCTTTTGCTTTTATTATTTTATATTTATTTTCAGCTTATTGGAGTAATTTAAGGACACAACGCATTGTATGAAGGGAAATTTACATACATATATTCTATATAACAAATATTATCATGTATACGATTTGAAAAAAGTTTAATCAAAATAGGACTTTGATGGGTCTCTTCTCAGATCTGGAACGGTCCAATGGGAAAACGTCTGGATCTGGGACGAACCGGTGTGAATGAGCTTAGATCTGATGTGATGGCACTCGAACCGTTGTTGAGCCGCAAGATCACCTGCAAGAACTCAACGCCGGAGGGGTTTCCGGCGTAGAGCCTCCAACGCTCAAGTCAGTATATGAGAGGGATGATGAGAGCTGCTATGAGAGCAGCAGCAGTCATGAAAAGGGTATGGAATGAATGGGAGTTAGGGTTTTGGGCTTACCTCAGTCCTTTATATAGAAGTACAATATTTACCTGAAGTCCCCAAAGCGCCCCGGCCGACTCAATAGAAATGTCCAGAATACCTCGGTCGGTTCATATTCTGCTTACTTCCTAGTCAGCATCTAGATTCTTCCTTAGCTTCCTTCTTATCCTTAACTCTTCTTCAATATGCTGAGGTGTGTCAAAGCTATCGGGAACCACGAACTGCAAGACTCCTTTAGTCGACTTGAGGTATTGAGTCGAGTCGACTGGATCGCATCCCACCGTTAATGGACCCTGATACGTCTGATCGCTGTCTCGGCAGAGGTCAACTCGTTCTAGTCGACAGGTGTACGTTGACTCGGTCGAGAACCGAGCTTCTTGATTGAATACCGTGAAACCCTACTGGCGGAGTCGACTGTGTTGTAATCGACTTGGCAGTTTCGAACTAGATGATATGAACCGTTATGAGCCAATTGTGGCAATGCCAAGGTTACTGAACCGTTACACGACAGTATGGCTATATCATCTAGTCCCCCCCAAAATTACTCGAAGCGATTCTGAACTTACGAGTAGATTTTGTCGACTGGATGTTTTCCTCGAATCTTTTCATATGTCCCGTCATCAGTTGTCATCTCGGGTTGTATCCATTCATTACCTCAAGTATCCTTGCACGCGAGGCCGACAGGGGAGTATATTGGGCTGTCCTCCACCCCCTTGGTCGCCCCTCTCTCTCGGCTCTTGGGGATCCTTTCCTTTCAGTCGTCGCGACAAGCTTTTTGTCCTTCTTCTCGTCCCGAGGCTCAGTTTTCTGCTTAGCTGCTTGCAGAAAGTCGGCTTCGGCTTCCTCGACATTCATGTACTTGGCGCATCTTCCCAATACTTCATCGAACGTTCTCCCGGGCCGCTTCGCTAGGGAATTTCTGCACAGTCCCCGGAGGAGCCCTCGAGTGAGTCCTCCTGACTTGATCTCCTCAGTGGCCGAGGGGACGTCGACACATGCCCTTGTGTACCTCGCCACGTAGTCCCTCAATGATTCCCCTTCCTTCTGCTGCATACCTATCAGAGTAAGGTACGACTTTTCTTGGGCTTTCACACTTGCGAATTGGTTTAGGAAACTCGAGCTAAATCCATCGAAATCCCTGACGGCCCCCGGGGGCAATTGGTGAAACCAATCCTGCGCGGGCCCTCGCAGGGTCGTCAGGAATGCTCGGCACTGAACGGGGTCGTTGTATCGGTGTTGTACTGCCATGTTTTCGAAGCTTCTAAGATGTCGGGAGGGATCAGTCGACCCATCATACCAGATATTAAGCTCCCTGAAGCCTTGAGGCAAGTCGGCATCTAGAATATGTTGTGAAAAAGGGTGTCCCCTTAGGCTTCCCGTCTTCCTTCCTTCGACCCGGGCCTGCAAGTCTCGGACCTGCGCTAACAGCTGTTCCAGCGTGTCGTTTCTGGCTTGTGGATTGACGGTTCTGACAGAGGACT